GATGCTCCGGCGGCAGGTGAGAGAGAGAGAGAGAGAGGGGAGAAAGCCTCTCTCTCTCTCTCCTCCTCCTCTTCTTCTGCTCCTCCACTTGTCTCTCCCTTTATCTCGCCTCACCCCCCCCACCCTCCTCCTCCTCCCCCTCTCTTGTTTTTGTTCTTCAGATTTCCTCTCTTTCTTTCGATTATCAGCTCCTCTGGTTCCCACCTCTCTCCTGCTGATGTGGCCATTAGGCTGAGCCGCCGCTGCCTTTATTACAGCAAATGGACTTTAAATGAGCTTTATTGTCATGTTGGCTGGCCAACTGAATCCCTCTCTCTCTCTCTCTCTGTCTCTCTCTCTCTCTCCCTCACCCTCTCTGTCTGACCTCACCTCGCCTGAACAGAGGCCCCCAGCATTGAGAGGCTGCTGTCCAAGGACTGGAAGGATAAACTTTTGGCCATGGGTTCAGGTCACGTCGGAGAAATTAAAGGTAAAGTACATCCTTATAAAAGTCAACGCTAACGTCCAATCACACGGCTCCCTGGAGCTGCTCGTTTGGTTCAAAGTTATTTCTTTGACACAGAAATCAGTGAAGCGACATCATTTTAAAAACAGATCTATAAGAAGCACAAATTTATGATCCTCAAAATATATAGATATGGAAAAAGGTGCTGGTCATTTTTTTAAGATTTTTTTTTAGAAACTATTCTTGAACGTTTCTTGGATTGACATCTCAGTCAGAGCTTGAGTCTGATAGAACAGTGAAGAAGAGGAAGAGGAAGAGGTTTTTGTGGCTGGTGTGACTGACGTCTCTGCTGATTGGTCAGCTCTGCGTCAGCTCCTGGTGTCTCTCACACATTTCATCTTCCTGAAGTCCTCGTTCTGTTCAAGAGGGACACACACGGAGCAGAACAGAGGGCAGGAAGTGATTCAAGAGCAGAACCAGGGAGCTGCGCTGCGAGCCAGAAGAAGAAGAAGAAGAAGAAGAAGAAGAAGAAGAAGAAGAGGAGGAGGAGGAGGAGACGGGCGCCGGTTCCCTCTAACTCCGGGGCGAAGCTCCCAGTAATTGAAGTTCATTAGGAGGCAGAGCCACGTGTCATCAAAGAGCCCGGCCGCGCAGCGGAGAGGAGCCGCCATTGATCAAACCCCCGTTTTTCCCAGCGCCCCCGCCGCGCTGACATTTTATGTAGGGGCGTCCCGCTTGGCACGCCACACACCAACAGCTGGGGACCAATATCAGGAGCGCGTACTCTATATAAGAGCATGTGTGTGTGCGTGTGTGCTGACGCAGTAATGTGTGTCACTAAGTATGAAGGATTAAAACCCATTAAAAAAAAAAGATCAGAAGTTAAAGCCCCGTGTTCTGTTACTCCCCTAGGAAGGGGTGAGGGACGGGCGCGGGGGTGGG